AAAAGATGTTGGGATAAAGATCCAGAAAAGCGACCATCAGCTGATGAAATTTACGATATTTTTCTTGAATGGCAAAATAATGAGGATATTTTATTGGAATTAACCGAGTATGATAAGAAAATACAAAGCATTACGAGTAAACATATCGATAAGCAAGCATATATTGAAACAAGTTATAAAAGCAAGCTTATTCTATATAATGGTAATTAAAATTTTATTAATAAAATTTATCATTTATATTTTATAATTTTTCAATCTTTTTTTTTTATAGATAGTAAACTACACGATCTGGAAATACCGTAAATGAATCTGAGTAGAAATAGACATAAATAAAATTAAATGAATTGGAATTAATAAAGGTTTATTTGTTTTATTTACTATATCATTCGTTTGATAAATTTCAATTTCATTAGACAAATTCTTAAAAAATTTTAAGAAAGCTTCTGTTTACAAAATATCCTTCATGATGATATTATTTATTTGTTTAAAATATATAAAAAAATTGATATTCTAATAGTATAATACTAGAAAAAAAAAAAGATCTATTGGGATCAGGAGTATTGCCTAGTGTTCCCAAGAACATATTTAAGAACATTAAATTTAAAAATGTGCACTTCTTTATTAAACATTTGAGAACATGAAATTTATAAAATTAATTATAAAATTTTTTTTGAGAACGTCAAAAATTCATTTTGAGAATATTAAAAATTTTTTGAGAAACTTAAAAATTCTAATTTATGATCTCAAAAAACAAAATTTTTTTCAGATATTCTTTGCATGAACACACTTTAAAATACAAATTGAATCACAAGAGATGTTAATAAAACAAATTTGAGAGTAAAAGTCTATTCTCTTTGATTTTATTGCATTCATGTTTCTCGTTCTTCAGTGGTATCTTTTTTGTATTTCATTATAAAACATATTCGTTCTTTGTTTATTTCTGCATCTCTTCTTTTTTCTCGCTCTCCTGCAATTTTTAAATCAATACATATATAAACCTTCTTACTACATCCTAAGCCCCTACAACTACTCATACCAGATAAAACTTTATATAACCTTTTTGCTTTACTTTTATCTAAATTACATAATTATATTATTCATAATCACTTAACTCTTTAGCAAATATACAAAGACTATTCAATATTTGTATTCAATATTTATCTCCTTATTTTTGGTATCTTTACATTTGATTACTTTTAGAATAGATAAAACTTCAATATTCATCTTAATGAAACCTATAAATTTTTGAGAGATCAATCGTCAAATAAAAATTATAATAATTATACTATATATAAGAGTTGCAGTATAAATAGCGTGACTTATCATATTACAAAATAATATGAGAAGTCTGCTATAGTGAAAACTCAAAATAGGCTTTACTTTGCAGCTCTTATTATGATTTTTTAATCCTCCGACCTTACTTTATTATTATATCATGAATTCTGATTCAGTAAATTCCTGAAAAATTTAATTCTGATAGCTAATCATCTATCTACTAGTACTGTAATAACATCTTTCAGTTTTATTTTATTTTATTTTATTTTTTGAGGATTCTTTTGGTTAAGGTAAGGGCAAGAACATAGGTAAAAAGAACTTTGTAATTACCAAATTATTAAACTGTCAGAATTTTGAATATCAAGATTTATCTATCAACTGATCCTTACTAGTACTTTTGCATAAGATGACAATCTAGAAAAAACTTCTAAAGCAATTTAACTGCTAGAACATATGATAGGAAGAAAACTATTGTATATGGTAAGAATGTTTTACTTGTATTTCTAGAGTTTCTATAAAAAAAAGTTAAAGGTTTATTACATCATTTTTTATTTTAAAATATAAAATTTCATTTAATATTTATCATTAAAAACACGATTATCTTTAAATTATATACTGTATATCTGAATATCAGTTCTTTTTATTGTAAAGGCTTCATATATATTTTTTTTAGAAATAGTTAATTAAAAGTATGCAAGTAAATTTTAATTTGAGATGTCTCATGCGAGATGTTAGATGACTTAATAATTAATAAGATTTTATTGATTTTTTGAGATATATAATATCATTTTATGCATTTGCGTGAATGATTTCTCTAGTTTTAATTGATTATTGAGGCTAGAGATAGATAAAGTAATTTTGTAAGTAATAATAACCTATGACTTATCTCTTACTTAATATTAAATAATATTAACGTTAAATATTTATTACATTCTATTACTTATTATGTATACATATAAAACATATGATAATAGTCAGAGGCGAATGATCTAAATCGAGATTGAACAAAAAATTGCTTGCTAAGAATCAAATTATTATAAAATTGCTTATTATTGTCTAATTTCTGGTGCCATTCATTTTACTAACAGTCATTTTACTGAAAGTTCATTTAGCTGATATCACATGAGGTTAGGGTTAGAGTTTTATTAGTTTTAGATATATATATTATTAGTAAATTGTTACTTATCGTGATGTCAGCTAAATGAGCTATTGATGAAATAATTGTCAGTAAAATAATACGGATCCTCTATTTCATAGTAATATTAAGTAATATTAAGTAATAATATGTAACTGACTTTGTCCATCTCTAATTGAGGCTCTAAAATTTCTGTTTCAGCAAATTTCAGCTTCTGCAATTATAATAGATTTCTATTCGATATTTTAAACTATGTTTTAACTACAGAACTATTTATATACATATACTATTAGTTGAATCTATCCTAAAAATCTTATCTGCAAGTAAGTCATCTGAGTCACTAATTGTTGCTAACTTGAGATTCTATTTTAACAACTGCATTCTGACTTGGATGAAATCAACAATTCCTTTTAATAGATTTTTCTAAACTGAGCGATAATAATATAAATTTATAAAATTAAAATAAAAAAATTTTCATTAATTTCGAAAGTAGATACAAGATATTTTCATTCAAAGTTTGAAAAAAACATCTCAATAATCACTTATTTTAAAAATTATTTATTTTTAATTCTACGAATTTATTTAACTTGCATAAAAAAAATTTTCATCAATTTTGAACAAGTGACTTAGATATTCACTCAAAGATTAGAAAAAATTTAGCTAACTATCAAAACATAAGGTTTTTCTAAACTTTGAATGAAGGTATCTTGATATCTACTTATTGTATTAGAAATCAATTAGATTTTTTTATTTTATATTATTTTTCTAATTCATAGAATTGGAATAAAAAAATTTTAATATGATCGAGAACTGTCACAAGCATTATAAATACTCCTTTTAGCAATTTTGCAGAAAATTCATGGTGCGAAATTCAAGCAGCTCCATCAATATTATTTTAAAGTGATCTGAGATATTGCTCAATAATTGAAGTAGTTATTATGATTAAATTGTAATGATATCTAATATGCTAAAAATTCATTATAAGAATTGCAGATTTTAAATTTTAGCCAATCATAATAAACTCTAAAAAAAAAAGGTCTGCATTTCTATATTTTATTCGTCAAATGATAATTCTCTTGATTAGCTTATTCGAATTCTGACAAATTAAAATTTTATATCATAATTTTGCTATTATAAAGTTTATTAACAGTAATATTTCTAATTTTTAAAACTAAATTCCTTTCCTACATAAGATCAAAATTTTTATTGTTGTCAATATCTGTTTAAACTATCTACTTCTACTTTTCTATAGTTAGAATCCTGGAATATTTTTTTGCTTTTTTATGATCAGGTTCAAGAGAGTTATTATCAATTACTAAATTTTGCTTAACCAAGAATGAGTTTATGAAAATCATCATAATGTTTGTTTATTCAGTTATAGCTATTAAGAATTATATAATCCTAAATATTTACAGTATATAGACTATTTTAACGCATAATTGTGAATATAACAAAAATTTTAAAAAAAGAAATCAAACCTTTGCTATTTTAATTTTTTCCTTTAGAAACTCACGTCTGGTTGATTTTTTGATAAGCTTCTGATGATTAGCTCTTTTTTCTTTTTGTTCATTCTGTAGAAACTTGTAATATAATTAATTAATAAGAAAGTAATATATTTTTAAAAAGTTTATTCAAAAATGAAATAGCTTGAAAAGTTGCTTTTTAGAAATATATGGAAGTACTATGTCTAACAAGAAAATATCTTGTGTAAGAATACACATATTGTGTTTCTCTCCTAAAATACAACAAAACCAAAATTTTCTAGAAATAGTCTTCCTAACCTCAAATCTGAAATATATGAATATATCATATCTAACAAGCATATAGCCTGTATAGAAATTGATTCCAAGGCTATTTTACTTTAATAATTAATATTATAGCTGTTTTTAAAAAGGTAAGAATGAACATATATCACTATATCACAGGAAAATCATAATATTTCCCAGATCTTAAGTTTTTAAAGCTTGCTCTTTTCAGATTTTGAATTTTTTTTAATTAGAATTTTCAGATACTTGGATTTTCTTATATAAGTATTGAAAACATTTTTTTTTACACCTTTTTGAAAACAACTATAAATAGACAGGTTACCTTTAGTTAATTTTTCAATTCTAAGAGCTGTATTTGTACTAGATATTCTTTTGAAAATAATTTTTTTAAGATATTAACCTCTATTTTAAATGAGTTATATATTCAGCCTTTTTCATTAATATTATAGACCTTGCATAAATATTCTAAGAACTTGCTAAGACTCCATTCAATATAAGGATGATTCTAGATTTCTTCTATAATATGAAGGTAAAGTTATAAGTAAAAAGTATTTTAATAGTAAATAGTTATTATAAATATTTACCATAATATCAAAAAAGCTGAGAAGCATTCTCAGATAAATATTAGCTAGGATTTTTTTAGAAACAGAAATTAATTCATTTACAGATCTTATTTGTTTCTTCAGGTTCTGAACTATTTTTGCAACTATATCTAATAATTTTTTTTATTTGTATTTAAATTGTTTTTTTTAGCAATATTTGAATTATTTCTTTCAGCAGTTTCTAAATCATTATCTTCCTTAAAGTTGTCTAACTGCTTTAAATCATTCTTCTGTTTCTTTTGTTGTTTTGATTCATGAGGTATTTTTAACTTTTTAATTTCTACAATCAATTTTACAAGTCTTGTGCTAGACCTAGTACAAATCCAATACTTTAAAACTCTTCTTTAGTTAAATCAAGAAAGTTAAGGCCTGTTATTTTTTTTTTATGAATACAGTCAAACCTCTCTATAGTTACCTTCTTTATAGTCATATTTTCTAAAACCAACTTATATACTGTAATACTTATAAAATTTAATCTCTATATAAGCACAAACTCTTTATAAGCACCAAATTCTTTAAACCAGGGGTGTGATTATAGAGAGGTTTGACTGTAATTGTAATATCATTATCATCTAGATTTAGATCTCTCTTTTGTAAATACTCAACAAGTTTATTTGTATTATATTTTTTAATTGTATAGATGAATACTTTCTTGTCAGTTAATATGCCTGAAAGTAATTTGACTCCAAAGACATAATTACTTTATAATAAAGTTCAAAAAATGATTTGAGGCACCTTTTAAACTATCAAAACCCTTAATTCATGATCTGTAAAACAACTCGAAATCGTGTACTGGTATTCTGATTTGACGAAATCGTGATCTCTGAAGAAAAGTGATTTTTTCTTTCACTTCCACTTCCAAAGTTTACAATTATATAGAGTGAAACCAATTACTCAATCAAGAAAAAACCAAAAAAGACTGCCAGGAGGGAGACAATTATCTCTACATTTATACATATGTGCCTAAATTATTTTTGAAAAAAAGTATTTTCAGCAAACATTTTAGCATTGCTAAATTTTTTATATGAAACCCTC